GCGGGCGCTGGAGTCCGCCGAGACACAGGACTGGACTGTGGCACTGCTGTCACAGAGCCGGAACCGGCAGCCCCTGGTGCTGGGCGACAACTGCTTCGCCGACCTGGTGGAGAACTGGATGGACCTGCCTGAGGTGGGCGCCGAACCCCGGCGCCGAACCCCTGCTGAGCCTTCCCGCCGGCTGGCCAAGCCCCCTGCCTTCCTTCTCAGCCTCTCGGGCAACGTACGCCGTAAGTTGGCCAACATGGCCCGGCCCCGGGGGGCCGAGAGTGCCCGGCCGGGGGGCCGCGAAGCCACCAAGCGTTTCTCCTGCCCGCTGGGGCTAGGGGGGCAGCCCAAGGGCGCCTGCTTCCACCAGTCCCACAGCAACATCGCCCAGCTGGCCACGGACTTCCACCGCTTCACCGCCCTCATGAACAGCCGCAGCCGCCAGCCCATCATCTGCAACGATGTTATCGGCTACATTTAGCCCTGCCTGCCTCTGCCTGCACCCTCCTCCGCTGTAAATAAACCCCAGTTTTGTACGGTACGGACACAGCAGCATTTATGGGGGGGGGGGCTGCCTGCACCCCAACTCTGGGCAGGGGCAGGCAGGGGTTTTTTTTCAACGAGGGACAATGCATCGGAGCTCATCCTGCAGCTTTTATTGCACAAGACAGGGGGTGCTGGCCCCCCACTCAGGGTAGGGAGCAGAGGAGGGGGGGACGGGCATCTTCGGCCTCAGCATCCTCTCCCTCACACACGTAATACACGTAATACAGCTCCAGCTCCCGCTGCCCTGGCTCCCCGGCATCCTCCAGGTTCTCTGATAACCTGTAGCAGGGAGAGTAGGTTTGGGGGATGCTGACTTGTCCCCTCATCCTGGCAGGGCGCCTCGGGGGTGGCCGGCCACAGGAGCATTTATGGGGGGGGGGGCTGCCTGCACCCCAACTCTGGGCAGGGGCAGGCAGGGGTTTTTTTCAACGAGGGACAATGCATCGGAGCTCATCCTGCAGCTTTTATTGCACAAGACAGGGGGTGCTGGCCCCCCACTCAGGGTAGGGAGCAGAGGAGGGGGGGACGGGCATCTTCGGCCTCAGCATCCTCTCCCTCACACACGTAATACAGCTCCAGCTCCCGCTGCCTGGCTCCCCGGCATCCTCCAGGTTCTCTGATAACCTGTAGCAGGGAGAGTAGGTTTGGGGGATGCTGACTTGTCCCCTCATCCTGGCAGGGCGCCTCGGGGGTTGCCCCTCCGGGGC